TCGCGTCTGGAGTTACAGGATTTTAATAGACAAAACTATAAGTCTTGTCGTATTTTTCTCATAAAAAACAGAAAGTGAGAATGATGGAAAAGCTCAAAATAACCAACGAGATATAGTTTTAAGTAGCTTCAAAAACAAAATTTTCAGCTCTATTTGAACAAAATTTGATAAAAAGATCTCCATTAATTATAGTTTTCCTGAAGAAACCCTGACATATCTCTTTGAAATATTTTTCTTCGAATACGTGTCATCTTATATTAGATGTTCTATATGTAATAGAAATATCAACCTGCTCGCTTATGTCCTGTTCGAGAACAGGAAATAATCCAAAAAACAGAGGAGGTACCCTTTAAAGATATAGAATTTCCATAAATGACTTGTTTTGTTTTCTAAAAATATCGTTTGCGTGAAATTCTGACAACGTCTTTTACTGAAACAAACTAAATACAAACTTATGTTATTAACATATGTTTAGGATAAGAAAAAAAACTTTTCTGGTAACTAATTTGTTTAGTTTGTTTTAATTAATAAGAAAATGAGCGAACATTTTGAGTAACACTTTATTTTTTTTTCTATAAAAACAGATGATTGTCATGCCTTGACTAATCAATACATTATAGCGTATCATTCAACTCGTTCTACAAGTTTTTCTAACAAATGCTGTAGAATTTCTTGAAGAAACTTTACACTTAACTTTACTGGAGCACAATGTGGTACGAAAATTCTTGCTGTTTTTTATGCGATAGTACATTCTTTTTGGAACAACAGCCAACTTAAACATAATTTTCTTTACCGAGATTTGCTTTTTAAAAATTTTGTTAGGGAAAACTTTTACAACTTCGTATAACAGAAAGTTTCATAATTTCAATTATCGAATCGATTTCGAACAAAGTTTCAATCAACTTTTTCTATATATTTGTGTAGTTCTAGGATAGTTCTTTCTGTCGTAGTCGATCTTGTTTGTAATTGCTTGTGAGATAAAAGAAAAAGGATACAATAACTGATGCAATTTTGGAAAAAAATTATTTTCTTAGAAACAAATACTAATAGTCGACTTTCATTATGATTTTTCTACATAGCAAAAGTCGATATAATCTGTAGAGATCAACTTAGAAGGTTATGTCTTAGCCGAAGACATTAAGATTTTTTCCAACAAAGCGAACAATTAAATTAAAGAAATTTACAGTATGTTTTCTTACGAGTTCTGAAGAAATTCAAATCAATTTTGTGACTGATGTGCAAATATCAGTTGGCGAAATATTTCCTTTCCAAGTTGAAATCACGCTCTATCCAATAGAAGCACGAATGAGTTTCCTGTCACGATCTATTCTACTGCAATTGAATGTGACATTTGCTCAAGGACTTTCACAATACTTGTTAAGATATATTTATTATAATCAAAATAGATAATTTATTCTTTTTTTTTCCTCATATCAAATGAAATAGAGGGTATGATATTACAATCTGGCAAGTAGATATGACTTTTTTTCTAATGCGAATTGTATCGGATAAATGAAAAAAAGGAATTAGAGTTTTTTTTGTGAAACTATAGAAGATTAATCATTTTTTTCTAAATAAAAATCTTTTCATATGTAAAATTGGTAAATATAATGAGAGAAAATAAGTATTATTTTTATCTCAACAAAGTAAAAAGTGCGAATAATATCTTAGTTCTTCTAGGGAATAAGTAGATTTTTTTCCTTTCTCATTTATTAATATTAATCGTCAACCACAATACCAATAAACACGAACGACATTTCTTGTTAATCTCAAGAGATTGAAAAGAAAACAATTCTATTCAGATTCAATTCAATAGTTTAAATACAGATTAAGTACGTCCTACCCATTGCTGATAACGTAGGGAAACTTTATGCTTTTATTGTTTTTCTTCTGTAATGTAAAGAATGATTCATATACTAATAACATATGGAGTAAATATATTAAGGAAGCATATAAACATATAATGATTTTGACTTATCAAGATAACGAAATTCTTTCGCTGAAAAATAGATCCTTAAGATAGCATATTTCCTATTGGAGGTATATAAGAACATAGAATAGAAATCGCATATAAAATAATATGTTAAAGCTATAATTAAAATTCAATTAATTATTTATACAGGTAAAAGAAAAGCTCTAGGTATTAAATGATACAGTATAACATCTCTATAGTAGATATTTTTCGAATTTTTTCAGAAGTATTCACTGTGATCAGAATAAGTCTTTTCTAAAAACAAAGGTTTTTATCATAGAACAGATATGTTTTTATGAGCATCTGACAGGTTTAAGTAAATAAAATAATTAGTTACTACTTATTGTTACTTATCTTTTCATACATTTTTATTCTTGGAAAATAAACAATTGTTAAAATATAGTAGAATTTCTCCTTTCATAGAAACCGATGAGACTTTGCATATTTATCCACCATACAATTATATGACAGTGTCTATTATATTGAAGTTCAATTCCAATAAAGATCACTCTGTCGAACCATGAAGTGTTCACTATAAGAACTTTTATTGTATTTAATTATGATTTAAAATAATCTGTTGAGAAAATATAATCAAAGACAACAAAAAGAAAGAATGTCTCTTGACAAATTTGAATGTAATCTCTAATAATATTTGACACATTCAAATTAGTAAAGCAATTAGTTTTTCAGAAAATTTCTTAGTGATGAATCATTACATTTCTCTCTATAGCGGAGGGTTTTAAATACATCTATAGAATTATCATATGAGTAATAGTTCTGTTAACATGTTATCATGTCTTTGTGACATGATGCAACAAGTATAAAATTAGTAAACTACTTGTAGCAAACTGAAAATACACCAGGTAACTTAATTTGACATACATATAAAAATTGACTGTAAGTTTATTTCAAACGAAAAAGTAATTGCTCGTTTTTTTTTTCTTTTCTCTTTTTTTCGTCGAACAAATTTGATCAATAAAGAGATTGATAAAATTGTACTTTAGTGAGGAAAACAAATTTTTTTATCGTAAAAATAAGAAAAAAGAACAAGATTGTATTGAAAGATACGTCAATAGAATGGTAAACAAAAGTTGTTTTATTCTTTTCAATTCTTCACTATGACAAAGACCTTCAAAGTTGCCAACAAACATGGTTTTCTCTTTGCGTTTCAATGTCTTTTTTTTCGTACCTATATTCAAGCTTTTTCTTCGAATGTGTTAAGTACCTAAAATCACGAAGTTTTTCAATGTTTGAATCCAATGAATCAAATGTATATTTATTTTTTGAATCATAATTTTTGCAAAAATTCATTAATAATTAAAAAAAAAATTTACATAAAAAATTACCCCTTTCATTTTATTGCTACATATTGTTCGTAAAATAAAAAGAACAACAAAATATATATATATTGGAAATTAATCAAGTTTCTATTGTAGACTTTAATACATATGCGAAATAAATCGTTCTTCTACAATTATTGAGATAAGAATAAGAGAATATAATGGTAAAAGAAAAAATGAATCATGTTATGTAAATGTATTCTATTAAGATTTTATATTAAAAGAATAAATATTCAACGAAGAAAATAGGATTGTTTTTTTTGCTTTTATTCTGAATACAAGTTTCTATGTTTACATAATGTTTCTTTTTCCCGAGATAACCAACTTCTTAAACTAATATATTAACTACCTTTTTCTTTTTATGTTTTTCTTTTTTAATAATTTAAATCAATTGTTTATATATTTACGTATCTTTTTTGAATAAAATTTCGTTTTATTTTCATATTTTCTTTTGGTTGATCCTGAGGGAAAAATATGATCGAATTCATAAAATGAATCGATATTTCAGTATCATTTTGTTATTTATTTATTTTTGCTTTGATTTGCTTCTATGTGTTTTTTTCTCTAGTTTGATTCATGTGTAGAATAGTCTTGCACAGGAAGTAACCGTTATAGAAAAGTTCCGACGTTGATCGACTCACAAATTATTGTAGTCTAGTTGTCTAGTGTGTTGAAAACAGAAAAAGGATAGAATAAAAGAAGAAAAACAAGAAGAAGAACAAGGACAAGGACGGCGATGACAAGAACGGAAGAATGAGTGACATTGAAATTTTTTTGGCTTTATTAGTAGCAAACGTTGTCAGATCTTGTTCTTATGCTTGCTGCCGAGAATTCTTTTCTTCTTTTTCTTTTTTGTTACTTTTTCACTACTGTTACTACTGTCGTTTTTTTCTCTTATTTTTCATTTCTTCCATTTTTAATTGCGTCATGTTATTCTTGTTTGACGGGACACCGTTCGATTGAAATAATACAGAAGAAAAAAATGATGATGTTGATGTATACTTGTTCTTAATGATAATCATTGTTGATATGTTGTGTTCTTTATTTTTTCGTGTCTCTCGATTCAGCAATATTGATGATGCTATGTCTATTTGCACGTGTTGCCCACTACGCGTACACACAAATAGACACACAAAATTATGTTAAAATAGAGCTTTTATCCTCGTTTGCACAGCTCGTTCTTTGCTCTTTCTGTCTCTCTCTCTCTCTCTCTCTTTCTTTTCCTTTATTCACTTCGATTCCGATTGAAAATGGTGGTGATGGTGATGTTGAATACAATCGAATTTGAGGACGTTGTTGAAGGCGACGTAGCGAGGGTGGATTGTTTGCTTCAGAAAAGTATTGCATAGTATACTAAAAAAAAACACAGTAGCAGTGGTAGAAGCAGCAGCAGAAACAAGCAAAACATCGATTTCTATATATATAATAAAATATATGTGGCATAATAGACAACATCTAACTAGCGGTGATCCTGAGCTCAATAGCAAATTACTTGGACGGTGAGCTATCTTATTTTCTGAATGACAACAAAAAAAAGCCAGAAAAAATGAGAAAGAGAGACAGAGAGAAAAAGAAAAAAAAACGATTAAGAAAAGAGCAATAATTGTGTTGTATTTGCAAGTAATATTTTTTACTTTGTTGTTTTAACGATATTGAAAAAATTTTATATTGAAAATTTTAGATGGAATATGAGTTCAAAACATGTAAATTCGAACAACAAAAGTATATCTGTTGATAATACAAATCAAAAATCTGTACCATGTGCTGTTCCTCATCGATTAACATCGTCACATCATATTAGACATCATTCATATGATACAACATCGAATACACTTGCTGTACCAATCTTTCCATCATCTCGATCAAATCGAAAAGAAAATAATTTAAATAATACAAATACAAATACAAATCCGCATTCTCGTTTTTTACCAGCTCGTTCATCACATCGACATACTTCTTCATTTGCATTAGATCGATCATCATTTACTGATTTAAATAGTAATTCTTATCATCAACATAATTATTCGGCATCACAAGAAAATTTACGATGTAAGAAGTTTGATCATTGTTTCTTTTTTTTTTTCTTTTTCTATTTTCTTACAATAATCATTGACACTTGAAAAAAAAACAATAATTCAATGTCTATAAATGTAATTATTGAATAATAGAAAATGATAAGTAGGAAAAGAAACAAAACTAGGCCTAAGCAAATATTATATCAAATAACAATAAGCTTTTTTTTCATTTATTTTGTTTCTTTTTCTTCTCTTATAATGATTGTCAATATAAAACAAATATTCTTATTAATATTCATCAAAAAAAAACAAATATCATAATATATTCTTTTTTTTCTCAGTAACTTCGGATGTTAATCCATCATCATTTACTTCAATACCAATAAAAAATTCCATACCATCAAAGCTACCATCAACTATACCATTATCATCATTATCTTCAATTCCATTAACAACAACAACGACGAATTCAACAACAACAAATTCATTAACACATTCTCTTCCCCATTTAAACAATAATCTTCCCTCTTCATCAAATTCTTCAACTATTCTCAATCATTTTAATATTCATAATGCAAAATTAATTTGTCTTTTACTTTTTTTTGCTTTACTTTTTTATCATGGTTCATTACGTTATATAAAAGGTGCTACATCATGTCATCGTTTATTAAACGAAGGACGTATTGAACGTTATCATGTATGGCAACCAACTGGTTGCATGATACATTGGTATGATTTACTTGATTTTAATCAATGTACACGTTTAATAACACAATCATCATCAACAATAGATAAAAGTTTATTAGCAACACGTAAAGCATTTAATAATCGTATTGACCCAGGAGAATGGTTACGTACACGTAAACAAGAACAACAACGTTTAAAACAAGAAAAACAAGATAACAGAAAAATTAATTTTTCATATACATTTATTGGTGATGAACGTTTGTACATGATCTATCGTACATTTATAAATACAATAAAATATCATTCAAGCTTATCAAGAAAAAAAACACGAACAATCAATAACAATAATAATAATAATAATAATAATAATAATAATAATAACAACAATAATAATAATAAAAAAGATGATAATAATAAACAACATAAATCATACCAATTTATTTATAAACATGCAAAAAATTTAACATATACAAATGAAAATTTTATTTTAAAATATTATTCAATACAAACATTTAATGATTATATATATAATTTATTATATTCATGGACAAATAATAATTCTATAAGACCACATGTACTTATTATTGGTCTTGGCTTATATGATGCTTTACGTGATAATGCTAGTTTTGATACAATCAAATATTTTGAAGGTAACTTAACACGTATAAAACAAAATTTATTAACAAATTTAAGTTCAACAACAACAATCTTTTGGTTTGGACAACCACATATATCATTAAATGAACATTTATTTCAATTTTTTCAACATTCATTATATCAACAAACAGCATATTTAAACGAATTAATACCTAAATTAAATTCATATATTGATCGTATGAATTCCATAGCACGACATATTTTTTATCATACTAATATTTATTGGCATTCATCAACATTATTAGAAGAATATTCATCTATATCAAGTGAAAATTCATTTTTATATGATGATAATAATGATGAATTTTTTGATACTAATCGTATTAATGATGATATTGATGATGAACCTACAAATGATATTGAACGTGACGATATAACTCAATCATTATCATCATCATTATCATCATCAACATCAACAACAACAACAGCAACAAATGATTTAATAACAAATTTATCGTCTATAATACAATTTGATTTTGATGATAATTTAAATAATCATAGTGATATTATTTATTATTCATATTTATTATTAAAAAAAAATCATACTATATCATCAACATTATTGATTAATAGTGGGAAAATATATGAACTTTATAAATTATCTTCATTTACACGACATACATGCGTACAAATATTATTAAATGCATTATGTAATCCACTACTACTACCTGATGATGGTACTTGTTGTGCACAAGTACCGCCATTAACACGTTTACAATTTTTAATCAGTCTTTTATTAGGTTGTTCAATAACATTTTTTATCATTTATATTGTTTATCGTATAAGATCAGTATTTATATTAAGACGTAAGAGTCGTGGTAAATTAAAATATGGAAAACATTCAAATCATATTGAACAACCAAAGCAATATCAAGATAAAAATTCACATACTGCCAATGGACATTGTCATATTAATGGAGCATTTAATACAGATATTAATGAAGATGGTGAAGAACCTGATCAACAGTTACTTACACCAACAATGAACGGAGATTGCCTATCGACGTAAGTTATTTTCAAACAACAGAAACAATCTCGTTGCGTAAAAGAATTTTGAGTAGAGCTCTACACCGTACTTCGAAACTCGATTCCGTTGGAGTAGGGATGTTTCCAATTTGTTAGGCGAGTATACATCAACAGAAAAACGATTTTTTGTTTCATGAAAAGATTTTCATTCGTATTATCCTTCGAATTATTTTTGACCAAGATAGGTGACCGAACACCCTTTGGCAGTCCCTAGCTACACTCCTGAGTCGAAGTTGTACAAAACATTGTTTTTACAGAGCTCTAAATTCAACTATTTCTTAGAACTAATAGAAGTCGAACTTCTTTATTTTCATATGTTTGATATGCACAGACACCAAGATGTGTCTATATCGTATAATTTTCTTTCTGTAGACAAGCATTTGAGTGTTTGCATGAATTATGCATACATTTAAAGTATTTCATACATTCAACTGATAAAAATACTATGAATGAGCGCACTTGAAACAATCAACTAGAATATAATAATAAAATTTTTTCGACTCAAGATGAAACAATTTTTTTTGTCATTGAGAATGTCAGAATCTCTTTTTTTTGTTGCCTGCTACAGACTTTGTTATTTAAATTGTAAATTTTTATTATGAATCGAATAATATTCATTGTCAAACTGAAGCAGAACAAAAAACAACGAAAAGCACATATAACATATAATAAAAATAAGTTTCGCGCATCACAAATATCGGTTTTTATAGCTGTGATAGATGATCGAATTCAATGGGGTATTACTATCGCTAGCTTGCGATACGTTTGGACACTTTTGTTGTGAATCTGTGCAACACGTTATGTTTTACATAATGTAATTATTTCGTTTGTGATCGCTCTTGCACGCACTTGAGTAAGAAGTTCGAGCACTTCAATATGTGTCCAAATCACATAACTGTCTTGCTCAAGATTACTCAAGTACTTCATGAGCATTTAAAAACAAAAAAAGAAGTTTGACTAGGAAGTCCAATCTTGAAAAGTTTTTCTTTTTCTTCAGTTATTTTTACTCATCGTTCGACCCCTTTCTTCCCTCCGTAATTCAGATTTTCTAATCGACTTCCTAAGTCCTTGATTCCCGCCTCTTTTTCATTTTCCCTAATCCTGACGACCTCGGGAAACCGTTGCTTATCACTTACTAATTCATTTCTATTTACAACGCAAATAAAACGCTTAATCCTTCTATTTATAGCTAAGAACAAAGAATTTATTTTATTTTATTTTTTCAATTATTAAGTATCTTTATTATCTAATCTTTTGTCATAGATATTCTTTAGAAAATTTATAATTACATTGTTTTTTTCTATTATAGTTATCCTCGTAATTATAATTCAAATACAACTTCAAATCAAAATCATTCATCATTATCGACTGGTTTAAGTCGTTGTAGATTTTTAATTCCAAAATTTTTACGAAATCTTTGTAAAAAATCTCGTGAGCATTTATTGCCACCATTATTATTAACAAAATCAATAGCAACACAATCTTCGTTATCATCATTATCAAATGGAAATAATAATAATAATTCATCATATCCATCGAGATTTTATAAAAAACAAAATTCTTTATTACACTTTCCTTTAACGGAACCAATAATACTTCGTACTAGGTATCGAGAAAAATAACACCAATGTTTTTCTTAAAAAAAGAACATTTTTTTTTCATTTTAGTGTTAAATATGCATTTATTCTTCTTTATTTCTATTTGGCTGACCGTACAGATTTTTTAATGAAAGAAAATTCTCATTTTTCTCGTATTGCTTTTTTTTTACCACTAACATATATTGGAATATTAGGAATATTTTTTCATGATAAACATTTTCATAAAACGACATCAAATCGTTCATCACCAAATCAAACACCACTGACAACAAGTCCTAATTCAAATACAAATCCAATATTTTCTTCAATACATAATAATGATTATGAACAAATTCCATCACATTCAGATTCAAATGATGAAAATAATACAATAACAAATAATAAATTAATAACAACAAATGGAAATAATAATAATAATAATAACAGTTTTTTAAATAAAGAACAAATTAATGAAATGCGTGGTTGGATGATGGTTATTTTATTAGCATATCAAATGACAGATGCATCAGGCAAAAGTCTTGTTTTATCAATGAGTATACAATTATTAATAAGTGCTTATTTATTTTTATCAGCCTATAGTCATGTTCATTATTATTGGACAACTGGTAATTATCAATTTTTACCATTTATACAAATGTTATTTAAGTATAATTTTTTGACAATAACATTATGTTTATTAATGAATAGACATTATCAATCATATTATTATCCACCATTAATATCATTTTATTTTACATTAATGTATGTTATATTAGCTTTTATACCACCTAAAATATGTGCTGAATCTGTTAAAGAAAAACCAATACATTTTATATATTTATTATTTAAATTACTTCTTATGGGTATGTCAATTATATTGATAATTTTTGTAACTGTGTAGAAAAAAAAGACAAAATTTTACTTTTGTATACTTTTATAATTATTAATGAAAGATTCAAATTGACTGTTATTAACATTAAACACTTTTTCATCTAGGAAGTATTTATAACAATATGAGTAAAATATTTAAATTACGTCTATAAAACTTGACCTTGAGAGAATAGTAAAAAATCAAGTTATTCAATTTTAGAAAATAGAAAACTTGAATTATTTTTATACTTAGCAGAAATTGTTACTTAACGTTTTCAGAACTTTTAACAGAGCATTGATGCATCATAAGAAGAGTTCTTTTAATGTTGAGCAGTGCATCTTATATTAATTCAAACAAATTCTTAGAAAAATAAAAATATTATTCCAACAATTGATGATATTTTCTTTCAATAAAAAAAAAAAGATTCAGTATGTTGAGTTTTCTTGACAATGAAAAAAACACATGGAGAAAGAAAGTAAATCATAGCTTAAATATAAAAACAAAATCTTATTTTTTTTTGTAAAATATTTGATTTATTCATTGTTTTCGACTTGTAGTTTCTAGGATTTTTTTTCAGTTTGTATTTTACAAATTCTATATATACACATTATCATGAATCGGAGAAATCATGCTCAGCGTACGCACCTGGCTAAAGGTGAGAGCGAGGGCTGACACTTGATAATTACGTATCTCTTTTGATGCAATTCAAATGTGTAATATACTATAAATAGATTAATACAAATGAGTCCCGTGAAAAAAAGCCTTGGTAACCGTTTTGAATAATTATTAAGATAGACTTTATAAACAGATATAAAATTGATTGATTGTCTGACAACGATATGTGTCATTAATAATGATGAATAATATACAAACTAAAAAAGAGGACCTTGAAAATAATAGAAAAAAAACAAAAAACAAAGATTTATGATAAATATTTCGTTTAGGTATTCTTGTAACAATCTTAAGTATGTCTGCATATTTATTTGAAAAAATTTTTACATTTCGTTTATGGAATAATTTATTTACAACTTCTACAATAACATCATCACTTGCTGCTTATGTTCAACAATTAGATCAATCTGATTTTTCACATAATGGTCTTCATCAATTACATACATTATTAATTCATGATAAAAATTCATTATATTATAATGAATATAATACATTACTTGATTACATATCAGGTAGTGGTCAAGGTATTGTTGGTCCTGTATCAATGAATGGTTTATCATTAAATGATAGACAATATTTATTTTCAAATATTTATCGTTATAATATGAATTCCTCCACACATTTATATTATGATCGTAATGGCACAATAAATGATTGGTATCATCGTTGGAATTTAGATCGTTATACAGTTTTATATGGAATGTGCTTTGCTTTTTTAATATTATTTATTGAAAATTATGATGCATATAAAACATTAGGTATCAAACGTAAACAATATCAACAATTAACATCAAAATTAAAAACAATATTTTGTTTATTAAGTTTATTGGGTTTAATTATTTATTTTATTGTTTTATTTTTATGTTCAAATAAAGCAATATGTGATGAAATACATCCATACATTGTTATATTACCGGTAAGTTTCATTTCTATTTTATATTGAATGTAGCAAAACTTTTGCAACATTCTTTTTTCTTGCATATAACTCTGTTCAAGAACATGATAAAACGTTGAACATATTTTTTACAAAAAGCTGCGTCATTAAACGCTCTCTACTTGGATCACTGGACAAAATCTTTATTATCGGAAATTATAATAGGCTGCTTATACTGAACACATGTATAATCATGTTATTTCCCACAAGAAAAAAATCGGACAAAAACTCATTTGTGATTGACAACTAAGGTCATTTTTAATCAAATCCATGTGAGATAAAATGAACTGTTGCTGGTACTGTAAAATAACCGAAATGTTCACCACTTCAGCAAAACTTCCTACGAACAGAGATAAACTGGTACCAGCTACCGACCTAGTCGGTCCAGACCGGTTCCATCTCTGCCGACACAATCAATACTGATTTCTCTTCAGTGCACTTTTATTATCTACAGTTAAAGACAAGTTTTCATCGTATTACTTTATTAAACTTAATTCCTTTGTACTATTTCTTTCAACAATTGAGAAAGTTTAACCCAGCGAATTGTGTATCGAACTCACTGTTTTAAGACGACGTATTTGAAAGTAATATAGCAAAAAATGTTCTATTTCAAGACAAAGCATTCAGATAAATTAACACAGGCATTATTTTATATTTGTATTTGAGATGAGGATGAGAAATCATGCTTATGCTTTGAAAACTACACTAGGTCTCTTATTAATTCCAAAGATTATAGCCAAAATGGATGAATAAAATATACAGATGTTCGGCTTTCTCTTATTGTTTCTTGTAGGAAATAACATGTGTTCAATGTTAGCAGTCTATTAAAATTTCAAAAATAGGTATACAAATTTCGTTCTTCTGATCCGTGTCAGAGATCGAAAACAAGTCGAACAGATTATCAAAAAATGACTACGAACTGAACTCTAACTAATTTTCGACCAGCGAGTGGATGCGATAAACACATAAGAAAACTAATTGGTTGAGCTATGATTTTTTTTTTGTGAAATGGTGATGTTGTGGGCAATTATAAAACGACGTTTGATCAATTACTTTACATCAGAGAACGAAAATGAATTGAACTATAACGGTTCGATTCAGTCTCTGATCCGAATGAAATATTCAATAGTGCATCTTTTGAAAAAAAAAGATCAATATTTTAATCATGTTCCTGAACACAGTTACATGTAAAACAAAGAATGTTGCAACACGTTTGCTACACTCAGTATATATATAAACATATAAATTTTTGTATTTAAGATCGTAAGTTATATTCTCCTACGAAATATTCCAACATTTCTTCGTCAACATTATTCACCATTTTTTTCATGGTTCGGTAATATATCATTAGAATTATTTGTTACACAATATCATATATGGCTTGTTGCTAATGGTCATGGTACATTAACGATTATTCCGCGAATGCCAACATTAAATTTAATAATAACAACATTTATATTTATATGCTGTTGTCATGAATTACATCGTATAACAAATATTTTAACACCAGTTTTTGTACCAAATGATTGTAAATGTTTTATACGAAATTGTCTGCTTTATTTACTTATCATTATTGTTTCATCATATATGTTCTCTTCAGTTTAATATGCAACGCTGAATGATGTGAGATGTCAAACAAAAGAAAAAAAACAAAATTTTTTGCTTTTTTTTTTATTATTGTTTCTTCTCCAAGATGACGCAATACTTTTTTTTTGTCTCTCTATCTCGCTCCCTTTTTGTCTCTCTCTTGATCGGTCGGATATGTCTGTCTTCTTATTCTTCTTCGTCTTCTTCTTCAACATGGTTTTTTTTTTCTATGCCCCGGTGTGTCAATCTCCGTTTTTTTTTGTACGCATGACTATTCTATAATCCTCCTATGGTATGGTGTTTTCTTTTTGTTTCTTCTGTTCTTTCATATAACATCATTATTCAGAAAGTTTTTAAGAAAAAAAGTGAGAATGACACACAAGTCTATAAATGTTTATTTATTTTGTGGACAAGTGAACAACCAGAGAATATATGCAGTCTCTCAATCTATTTGTTTCAGTCAATAGAAAACTTATCCAGATTATTTGATCATATTTTTGTTTTTTCTTAAATGAGTTTTTTTTCTTGTTTTGTTCAAAAAATTTAGACTTCTAACAATAACTAAACAATGTACAAGTTCATTGCATTTTTATTTCGAAGAATATGACAATCATTTTGAAGAGTATCTCGAGCCCATTGGACAAAGTCTGTTGACATACTTCTAAATAATTTCTATAATCGAATCTTTGTTTTTATTTCCTTTTTAAGTTCATCTCTGATTGTACAATGTGGTGTAACATACTTAAAAATATGTCATTTCAAAAAAATGATATCAAAGTTTATATCGTCCATATTCTCAAAGTAGTAAATTTGAATCAAAACTAACAGAAAATTTATCTATATTTAACTTTTGTAAAGTTTCATTAGACAAAAAAAATGGAATCTATTATTGTTATTCTCAGACTAATTAAAAGAAAAAAAAAACAATTCTTATTCTCTTATTAATGTGTTTTGTTTTAATTTCTTCCAGATCAATGATTATTTGTTTGTAAATAAGAATGCCTCTCGATGGAAGTAGTACTGAATTACTTAATGCACAAACTTCAACTAAAAAAAAACGTTCACATAAAAAACGAAGACAGAATCGAAAATTAAAAACAAGAATTTTAGATGGAAATGAACCTAATGGTCAATCATCTAATGGCATTAAAAATACTCTTAATGGTTTGTAATTTATGTTGTTTTCTTCTAATAAAAAGAAAACTATTTATTAATTATTTTTTTAGCTAATCGATATGACGTAAATAAATTAACACCAGCTAATCTTGGTTCACTTCGATGGGATAATGTATTAAATGATCCAACACTTGAAAGTGAACGCATTGAACGTTATAAAGAACTTCGACGACAACGTTATATAGATGCTCGACAACATGCTATTCAAACACTCATGGAACAAATGCAAGTAACTACTATAAATGATACAACGAATAGTCCTGGAAATGAATAACAATAATTGAAAAAATCCATGGTGATTTGGAATTTTTCTTTTTTTCCTCATCTTAACTTCTGATTTTTGGTGATTTTGATATTTCATTTATATTTTTCTATAATACATTGTTTTCTTTTTTTCAAATTTTTACATCAGAATGGAAATAAGCGAATAAATAAAGATAATATTTCTTTTTTTCGAGATAAACTTACATATAGACCTACAAGTACAAGCAGATAATTAACAGAAACCAAAACAACTATCTAGAGAAACGAGCGCCACTATTTTTTATGTTTATAGATGTGTTGATGCTGTCTATTTTGCCACCGGTCGAAAATTGTGCACATCGTTGTGCTTATCATTGTTGATAAATGCTTTTTGTATCGTCTGTTTCTTTTCTCTCTTTACGTTCTTAATCCGATGACGTATCTTCATGTTTGCCCGTTACTCAGTCGAACAGGCGCATATGTTGATGAAAGTATGCAGACGGTAATCGATGATACTTTCTGAGACATGGTTGAAGACATGAAAGAAAAAAAGCAGAAAACAATTTGAGTAGACTCATGCATTATCTATGTGTATATATATATTCCTGCTAGATAGAATGAGATCTTAACTGACAATATTTCTGTCAAATTAGTTTTCTAGCACAACTGAAGAAGCTAACATTTAAGCATTAATATTATGGGAACTACGCTAAATATAATCGGAGTATTATTTATTTCAATTCTTATCGATTTTTTGGAATTTACAATTATTTTACCATTATTACCGAAAATATTAACTTATTATGGACGTGGTAATGATGTTCATCAAGTAAGACAAAGAAAGGGAATCATATTTATTCCTAATATATTTTAAAAATATATAGGATTCATTGTATGCTCAAACAATTTCATTTGTTCAATTTATTCGAGGTTTAACTGGTGCACCAAATGATGCTAAATGGAATTCTGTTTTATTTGGAGGTATAAAAAAAAAAAATTTATTGAATTTTTCTAAAAAAAAGTTTTTTTTTATAGGTCTAATTGGATCGCTTTTTTCGTTTCTGCAATTTTTTTCATCAACATTATGTGGTGCTGCATCTGATCGTTATGGTCGAAAACCAGTGCTTCTTCTTTCAATGGTACTCTAAAATAATTATTCCTAATGTTTTTCTATTGTTCTTTGATGTTTTCTATGTTTATTTAGATAGGCATATCACTTTCATATGTTATATGGTGTGTTTCATTTAACTTAACTATTTTTATGTTAGCACGTATTATTGGTGGATTTTCAAAAGCAAATGTTGCTATAATATTAGCTATTGTTTCCGATTCTACTACAGAAAATGAACGAAATCGAGCAATGGTAAGTTTTCAATACTAAGAAAATTGAATAAAAGTGACAAAAAGAAAAAAACCAAAAGAAATTTGATCAATTTCATTTAAGAAATCTTTTTCGGATATAATTTTAAGAAAAAATTTGTTTTTCTCTTTTTATTGAATTAATTACAATAATAATTAATCTATGTTTGTTTCTTTTTTTTAATAGGCATGGATTGGTGCAGCTTTTTCACTTGGTTTTATATTTGGACCGTTACTTGGTGCATTGTGTAGTCAATGGGGTATTGCTTATTGGCCAAAATCAACAGTGATATTTTTTATTTTTCCTGCTATTGTGTCACTTATATTATCATTGATTAATATCGTTTTTATCAGTCAATATTGTCCAGAGACATTACCAGTATCAAAACGAGTAAGAATTTTTTCTTGTATGATAAAAATTATGATTATAATTTCTTATTGAACTTTTAGGATTCTCAACAAACAAA